GTGTCAAAAGTTTGTTTGTACCAAATGTTGCCAATCACTCAAACACATATTTTAGTTTTTTATTTTTCTATTTTATTAGAATTTTTTTTTGCAATCCATTTGCTCATTTTTAGGTGCACTAGGTTAGATCATGAAAAGCAAACTAAGTTGATAGTTTTTGTCTGAAGCAAAGACAAAGGAAACCGAGCTGCTGGGATGGAGAAAGATAAATTGTGTGGTGCAGTTTGTTGCGTTATCTGTCCTCTGACTCTGCCTCATACCRCACGTTCATGAAAATTAGCAGGATGCTGTCAACACGCTGGTTTTATTCTGTTTGTTTAAGATGCTTTGTGTTGTTTGCTTGGAGTTCATTAGTAATATTCATGGCTCAGGTTTTCTCTCAGACATGCACACTCGGGTGCTAAGTCTAATAATTTTATCAGCGTTGAACTGTAAATTCAAAGGGAGTCATCTTCACAACACCTCTGCAAAACACCACAAGAACCTCAGCATACTTCATGCTTAGACATGAAAAATGATACTGAAAAACACAATGGTGTGTTGTCTTCTCTAAAGCAAAGCATTTTTCATCATTAATCTACATTTACTGATGCAAAGAATCACTTTTCTCCCTCATTTAAGGGTTCAGAAATTGGAGCATTTTAAGATCAGCTGATGTCATCGTGACTTTTAACTGTTTGAAATCTGTACAAAGTATAGTAACCAAATAAGACGTTAAACGTTGTCTTATCATTGGTGATTGTTTATCAACTTTAAAATTATCAGTCAGATGTTGTTGTAAAAAAAAACCTGACAATTAAACCCGGAGAAACATATTAAGATCATTTTCTCATAGCTTAAGCAGATTTCTTCAGAAATAAATTATTAAATACTACAATGCAGTGCTTCCATCATAGCAAGTTGCTGTGGAATGGTTGTGTGTATGTATATGTGTGTCTATATTTTTATTTTTTGATTATTGAGGTTGATTTTCAATTTTAATATCACTCATGTAATGCAACCTTGTTTCAGAATCACTTTACTGGCTTGTTTTGGTCTTTTATCAGGGAAATAATTAACAATTCACAAGAGTTTTGGCTTAGAATAAGGGCTTCTTCATGTGCCCAGTTGCAAGGGAAGCTGGCAAAATTCAACATTTCTGATTAGTGTGAAAAGTTCTGTCATTTATCTCAGGGTAAATCTCTGCTGAAAGGGTGCTGTTGGAGTGTTCTGTTTTTAATGCAACACAATGATGCACCGCAACAAGGACACACCTTTTATCCTCACTTAAGAAAGATTTAAAGCCTCATTGAAAATRCACTAGCAGCGTGAAGTTTAAAATGCCTGCACTATTCAAGAAAATAATGGTTTCAATGTTTGTGGAAGTTATATGGGGAGTTGAGGAAACACGCTGAAGGAAAGGGAGGGAATGAACAAACTTTTGTGCCAGTTGTTTTAAGGACAACATCCTTTTCAATGACAACTGCATCAGAACCTCTGCATGCTCCTCTAACTTAACTGTGTCCTTTATGATATCTAAAATGAACACATTTTCCACTTTCTGAAAAATAACAGAAAATGTATCATAAAAAAATCCAATTGACCCATTGCAGCTTGTGGATTCAGTTYAGTTATTACTTGTCAGTGAAATGCTTAATTTATTCTGGAGTGTGTGAACATTCTGGGCTGAAAAGCCAAAAGTTTTACAAGCCTGTACAGGTTTATAAAAAATACATGAGGCTCATTGGGTTTACATTCTGTTCCCAGAATGTGGTACTGTATCTCTATTTATTGATCTATGTTCTTAATATAATATTCACAGATAGACCAAAGGCCATGTGTACTGTATAAACAC